TATTAAAAAAAAAAAAAAAAAAAAAAAAAAAAAAAAAAAAAAAAAAAAAAAAAGGAAAGAAAGAAAAGACTTTGGGCCTTTATTTATTTATTATGATTATTATTCAACTGCCAGCGTGTATGCGCTCTAGAGAGAGAGAGGGAGAAAGCACCCCCAGTAGGGTGTGGTTATGCCTCAATCCCTCTCCTCCATTTTTCATCCTGCTGGTATTTGGGGCATTCATAAACATGCACTCAAGAGGGATTTTTAAGCTGCTGGGGATGGGATTTAAACCATAGTTAGCCATGTGGGACATGGCTCCCTTAACCACTAGGCCACAGGGCTAGCCCTTGTTATGTATTATTATTATGGAGGTGTCCTCAGCTTTGGGGGGCATGAGTGGCTGAGCTACTGTCTAATTAAATACTACGCCCAGTCAGCAAGTGGTAGACAACCCCTCCAGTTCTTAGTTGGTAGGCATAGGCTCTACCCCCGCTTTGTAAAGTCAACCGGCGGATACAGAACCAGTTTCCTCTCTTCACTGGGAACTGCAAACACCACGGAAGCATAATTCACTATAGTCCGAGAGGGTCAGAGAGCTTTTAGGTCATCAGAAGAATCCTGACGCATTTCTGCGTAGAAAAATACATCATGACTTTTCCAACAACCTAATATAATCCAAGGCTGGAAGGAGTAAGACTTAAAGGGAAGTGTTCACATCACTTGTGTCCCCACAACAGGGGAGGGTCCATGGCTCCTTGCTGTTTTCACAGGGCCTGCCAAATATTTCTGTAAAGCACTTCATTTCTTGCATTGTCTGCCTACTCGCACTGCTCATATTTTTGCTAAGGAAGCCAGAGAGTCGGCAGCTCAGTGCCCAGCACTGGCAGCTTGTCTTCAACTTGTCTCCTTTTCTGTGAGGACTGAACCCTGAACCTATCCACTCAACAGCTGTGACGTGGGACACACACCAGGTCCCTCCAGCTCCTCCTTCCCAATAGCAGTCAGGGAGACCTTTACATCAAAGACACCAGGAATTCAAGGCTTCCAAAGTCTGGGAGACACAGGAATCCCCATATTCTAGGTGCACAAAACCCGAGGCTTAACAGCAAAGAGAAGCTGAATTATTCAACCAACCATGTGAGTTTTCGTTTTCTGGTGTTAGGGGTATTTTCCAAACTGGCACTGCCCAGAGCTACATTCACACCTGGAAAGGAGCACACAGCCCAGACTGGTACTTAGCCTGTCTTTGCCGTTGTTTTCTTGTTTGTTTTTGTTTTTGAGTGGCCAGGTATGAGAGGTTCATCACAACGTGAGTGTCTGCTTGTCAAGAGATTTGTCCTGTCACAGCAGACAAGTGTCACCTTGTCATTTCTCTAGCTGCTGCTCCTACACCTTAAGTTGAAGCATATGAAATGGCACTTTTTGGAGGTCAAGAAAGATCAAATATCAGCAGTTCCATAGGATTTATCTTAGTAGAAAGCATCAACAAGAACAACTGCTCAGGAAGTGGCTTCTGTGTCCCAGGCCCTATGTGGGGACTCTATCAATGCTGCCTTTCTTCATTTTCACCACTGACATCACCTCGAGGTGCGAATATTATCCCTGTTGGGCAGATGAGAGGGTGGCGGTCCCAAGAGGTTAAAGAAATGGCCTACAGGGTTAGCGAGGACGGATGAGACAAGAAACCAGGGCCGTTTGCGAAGGACTAAATACATTTCACTTTGCCACGTACAGATTTTGCTTTACGGAGTGACTAGTAAAGTAGTTCGTTTGAACTGAAAGAGAAAACAACCTATTTGTATGTGGAAATGACTGAATCACCTCATATTTTTTACACCTTACTTAAGAACCTCCAGAGACCCTGCTTCCAGTTATGCAGAATCTCACCCAAGTTCTCAATATTCAACAAAAGCCCTCTCCCCCCTTTTATTTTGTGCTATAGGGTGCTTGTGCTTGCCAGACAGAGAAAGTGAGAAAGTTCCCCCCAGGGGAGATAGATATGCCACAATCCGGGACCAGCAGTTAGCGTAATGGCTATGTCGCTGGACTCCCACATGGTCGACCACGGTTCGTGTCACGGACCCGGTGGCTTAAAACTCACGCCGGGCACGTGTGCATGCGTGCCCAGGATCCCGAGAGGAGAATGGAGGAGAAGGGATTGCGGCATGGCCATCCCCCCTGGGGGGTGATTTCTCGCTTTCTGTCTCTCTCTGTCTGTTTGGCGAGTGCACGCGCCCTACAGCAAGAATCTCTCAAAAAAAAAAAAAAAAGAAAAAAAAAAAAAGAAATGCCACAATCCACTCTCCCTTCTTCTCTTGGAATCTTAGGCACACATGCACATGTGCCTGGCATGTTTTCCCTAGCTGCCAGGTCCAGGACTTGAACTGTGCTGTTGGCCATGTGGGATCCAGCTGCCTCAACCACCATGGCAGTGGTGGCCCAATAATTTCTCTTCTAAGCTTATCCATCATTTCTTTTTTGGTCTCCACTTTCCAGTGCCTATCTAAGTCACAATTTAGGTTTGCGTTACACAGTGACTTGTCCCTGACATACTGTGTTCTGGAAATAGTCTACCTCATCTCTGTAGAATCATCTGCAGAAATGGTCTCCATCCTTTGAGGCCCACTTTAAGTGCCTCTTGATCATGATATCTTCCTAGTTCCCTCCAAAGATATGAATGTTTCTTCCTCTAAACTTCCAGAGCCTCATGAATGCTCTTCATATTCACCACTTCCGGTAGGCCCCAGTCTGTCAGCCCTGTCATAGCTTTCTGGTTCCTAACTGGTAGGAATTGTGTTTTCCTTGGGTCTATAACCCTGCTGTGCTATGTAGCACTCCAGGTGGCACTTGTAGAACTAAATCAAATGTTCAATTGCTAAAATCAGAGATTTACTGTTGAGGTTCTGAGAACGCTGTAGGCTCTTCTCCTCAGGTGATTATTGTCTATACATGCAACTGAGCTGTCAGAACCTCTTGACCTGTGGCTGACATTCCCAGAAACTTAGAACCCTGTCTTCAAACTTCAAAGGCAGCCTGATTTCTAAGGAGCCATTTAAAAATTCATACACTTGCAACTTTTTCTCTTTAAACTCGGGGAAACACCTGTAAGGTTTACAGTTGTAGAAAGTGACCTTAGCTGGGGTTCTGCTAAATATAACAAAGGAAGCTACGCAATGCGAATTCTGATTCAGCACAAAAGGGAAAAGTAGGTTTCACGGTACTGAAGAATCCTACAAGACCTTTTCCTTTTGTTAAGTTACTGGTTTCTAATTTTTTTTTTTTTTTTTGGAGAAGTTTTTGCTATAGGGAGCATGCGCTCGCCAGACAGAGAGAGACAGAGAGACAGAAAGCGAGAAATCACCCCCCAGGGGGGATGGCCACGCTGCAATCCCTTCTCCATTCTCCTCTCGGGATCTTGGGCATGCACGCACACACGCCTGGCATGAGTTTTAAGCCCCCGGGTCCAGGATGTGAACTGCGGTGGACTACATGGGAGTCCAGCGACATAGCCATTAGGCTAACTGCTGGTCCCTGGTTTCTAAATTTATAAGCGAGCTATAATGGTAGCCCACTCACCACTTGTGGGCTTTCATTCATGAATTTAGCTATAGGTCTACATAGGGATGGGTCCTTATAAAATTCATAGAGAATGTGTAATATGAAAAAGATACATAAATTCAAAGAAAGTTTGCACCCAAATAAATTCATACGTTATTCTATGTATCTATGAACTTTCTGAAGTCCCCTTAGGGGGCCTTCAATGGCTTATATATCTGCTCATGAGTTGATTTCAAAACACAATGGCTCACCTAGACCATATTCCTCAGTTGCTGGGGCAACCTTTTGTATTTTTGGACCATAGTTTATCCATCAAACACTTCCTTCCTCCAAGGTCCTGGGCATGCTCAGTAGGTTACCCACTCCCCGCCCCAGCTTCACATTTATTGTTCACTCCTAACCTCCTTCTTTCTAGTTTATATCACTCAATATTGCAGAGATGGTCTGTAGATCACTGGCCAGGATTCATCAGTTAATTAGTTATAAGAAGATACAAAATAAAGATATAATTTCCTCCAGGGATCTGACTAGCAATTAGAGTGCCCTCTGTAGTTATCTATTTTTATAAGGTTCATTCCGTCTGAGCTCTTAGCTAGAAAATCAGTGTGCATGAAAAAGAATGCTGTTTAAGCACTAACAGACTAAGAACCAATTCTGGAGGGTTAGTGATAAAAGGAAACAGGTATCAGTCCTCAGTTCCCAGCTCTCTGCTGGCCAAAGTCTGAGTAGACACAGAGCTACCTGCTCTGTGTGGGAGACTGTAATAGTTAGGAAGAAACTGTGGTAACAAAGAACAGACTCATGGTGTCTGCTGTCAAAGAGAGTATGCTTGGCCTGCAGCTCTGCCTCTGTCTCATCTACTCACACCAGCAGTCCTCTCCCTTGTGTCTCTCCGACCCCTCTTCTCCAAGACTCCTGCCTCTCAGAAAGAAACATCTGGGTATTTTAAAGCCATGGCCTGAGAAAGCCTCTTGGGCAGGCCACTGAAGCTGCCTTCTGCCACGATCCCAAAGGCGCATCTGCAGCAAAGCTGCTATAGTACTCACCTAGGGAATGAACCACGTCCTATAATATAACCAGACCAGGGACCCCACTCGACTGCTATGGAAAGCATGCCACTGGGTCACCATCAATATTAGATCACACTTATGAACATATGTAAGACAACCAAAGAGAACTCTTGATAAAAATGTCCTCGTACACTTCACTTTATCTTCTCCCTTCCATTTGGTTTACTTGTAAATGTCAGGAATGTGTGATTCCTAATCAAACCACCTAGACCAGGCCCTTCATCTCAGGCCTTGGTCTGTTCCATGAGCTGCACTTGTCACCCTCTCCCTGAGGAAGACAGCGTTGAGCACGTGGGGTGTGGCAGGAAATGGGGTCAAGGTGAGGGGCTGGCTGGAGAGCAGAGGAAAGGACCACGCCTGGCAGGGTGCGGAGTTGACGTTGTTACTCACATGTGCTGGGAAGCATTTGGGTACAGTTTTGAAAACTGTGGGGCCGAGTCCTCAGGGCCGTGGGGCGCAGCGTGGCTGATCACCATCATAATGGGCCTATGGGGATACATTCTCTTAGACATTTTGAAGTAATTAATGCTCTCGTTAGTGATTAAGTCTGTGAAGTAGTCCTGAAACATACATTTGACACAAAACAAAAGTTACAAAAGGTGACATTCATCAGATCACATTTGAATACTGCTTTCCTCAGAAGCAACTCATTCAATGGCAAGACGAGGTCTACAGCAGCAAGGAGGCCCGTAGGTCCTCCTGAGGCAGCAAAACATCTTCAACGATAGAGAAGATAGTCGGCTGCCAGTTATTTGCTAGAGTTGCTAGCTCAGTTGCACGCAAAAAAAATGTATTTTAAGTAATGCGTAACTTCGCAATTAGGAAAGAAAAAAAAAGTCCAGACGTATTTGCCCAAGATAATGATCAGATTTGGCAATACAAGTGCTCACACACATAAAATACCGGATACATATTTCCTTCTCAGGTTTCCTTGATGTAATTCGTTGGCAAAAAATTTAATTACCTCAAGGCAGGAAACACCCACACCCACTTCACATTCACAGTTGCAGAACACACACACTCACACATACACTCACACACACACAAATGCATAAACAAGGAAAAAGACCTTTTTTTTGAATTAAAAATTCACCTGTGGGAATTACACAATAATCACTAATCAAAGCCAGGGCTAAAACCCAGGAGTACAGGGAAAGCTGCAACATTTTGATCAATTAATTTACTTGAAACACTTAAATATGGGGAGCAGTTGATTTCCTGCAGATTATGCTGTGTTAATTGCTCAACTAAAGTACTACAGCTGCTGGGATTAGAGCCTGACTCACTAATAAAATGACTTAAGCCACAGTCAGGGGGGCTGATGCAATTCTGTAAGAGGGAGGAAATGGAATGAAAGGGAAAGAAAAGATGAAAACTTAAATTAAACCACCTGCTTCCTTTGAGAGCGTCTCACTGGCCTGGAGCCTCCAGTACTGACTGTATTCAGATAGTGTCTAAGCAGTGTCCACGATGTCAAACACTTCCAGCCATGGCCAATCACAGGCTGTGAATTTAAGGGCCAGAACAGCTGCAAAAGCAGTGCCCAAAGTAGGAAATCTGTGTCACATGTCATCGTTAGGACAAGTCCACAGGTTGTCCCTGCCTTCCATGGGGTGTGTTTCATTCCTCTCCTCAGTTAAAAAGAAAGATATCTATTTTTTTGGACACGGTTGTCTTTGACACTTAATCAGCTGTGATAATGAGCAAGTTACGCTGATTTAGTATTTGGAGAGAGTCTTGATTACTTAGCTCTCCTTAGGACAACAGGGAAAGAAAGGTTAATAGCTTGAACAAGGGGCATGAAAAGCATCCCCACAGATAGAAAATGATAGCAGTGACAATTAGGGCATGTAGTCCTATCGGCTGCATGCAATGATTGCATGTACCACGGGGGACGTGACCTGGAGTAAGCGAGTGGTGGAGTCACCCTAGGCTACTTTGTCCTCATCTTTTAAAATGAGGACAGTGCTCAGAGCCTCCGAGGTCTCTGGCAACTCTCAACTTTGATGAGTCTGGAAGCCGAGTAGCAGTGTTTGTCAGTTCATTTGCATTCATTGTTGGAGGGTATGAAAGTGCAGGACTCACTCCTCCTCTCCCACCAAGTCCCTGGTGCTCAAATCAGGCCAAGCCTGAAGACGGCATGGAAATCAATTTCCCACTTTCTGGTTTCTACCAAGCGTTCTGGCCTGAAGGGAGGGGTCACTAGATAGAGCAGATTCTGGCTTTTTTTTAGATCAATGAAGAGGTGGGTATGGCTTGAAGGGAAGACAGAGTTTAGGCAAATTAGCAGGCTGAATTTAAAACATCTTTTCTAAAAAAATCTGAAAAACTTTACAAATATAAGTTAGCAATCACAAAACCTCCGTGAATTTTAAAGTCCACCCTAGTCAAACACCCGTGCCCACTTCACATTCACAGTTGCAGAACACACACACACACACACACACACACACACACACGTGTGTGTGTTTGTCAGAATCCTGGGGCATGTCAATTCCCGTTTCAGTGAAGTGATTTGGAAAGCCTAGGATGGATAGGTTTAGAGACTTGTGCACTCTTGCTGCCATGGGGCAGGTGTCCTTGTCACACACACTAAGCTTGATCAGACAGGAGTAAAAGCTGGGGATGTGGTTTTCCAACCTTTAATTACAGCACTCGTCCGCTCTAATTCTTATAGCTACATGTGAAACCACAGACAAAATAAACTTTCACCCCAAAGAAAAGTAAAACAGCACAAGATGAACATTCAATTATGTGGACAAGTCCTCCTGAGGGGGAGGGAGACAAAAATTATCACCAGACAGAGCAGAGGAGCTATGATTTTCTTGATGGTACCTTCATCAAAGCCTGATTCTCTTTTATTCTGAAGAACAAAAAAATCACTATACAAAGGCAGTGTTCCTTAAGAGTCCTTTTCTTGCTTAGAGTTGAAAATTACCTTGAAATTTCTCAGTCGAACATTATAAGAACATAGGAAGCCAATCTTGGGGATAGTTTAACTCACTGGAAATGGCTTCCCCCCATTATGCACAAAGTAAATTGATGCAGTGTAAAAAGTGCCTGAAAATTACCTTTGCATAATCAAATCCGTGCTTTTCTTTGATGCCATTGCGACAAACAGTGTAATTATAGAAACGAGAATTCTTGATTAATCCAAGCCATTCTCGCCACCCAGGAGGGATGTAGCTGCCATTATATTCATTGAGGTATTTTCCAAAAAAGGCTGCAATGGGGGGAAAAAAAGGACTATTTTATCATATGAAATGATTAATCTTAAATAATTGCATCAATATGACATTATGACTTGGAAGGGATGGTCAAACAAAAGTTAACCTAGGGAACAGTGAATGCCAAATAATATTAGCGTAATCCTCTGCTCCTCGGCAAAGTGACATACACACGTTTTTCTTTTGAATAGTAAGTAGCACCCAAGTACATAAATTACGGTTCAATGAAATCACCATAATGACTGTGGCACTCTGGGTGAACCTATTTCTTATGACCCTACTGGAATAAAAGCAGAATATAACCTTTTGTTAAGCTGATGCAACAATTAAAGATGTAGCCAGAGTGAGATCTGGACTGCTCTCACTGAGCACGCACTGGAGCACTGAAGTTCAGTATTAGCGACAGTAAGTTTTCTCACTTCCTCTTTAGGAGTTGTGAATTATAAAATACTATTGAGAAGCTTGTCCTTGTCACATATCCAGGGAGCACACATATTTCAAATCAGGGAACCGTAGTAAATTAACAAAACAAAACAAAACAAAACAAAAACCAAACGATATGCCAGGGCCAGCAGGTGGTATAGTGGTTAAGGGGCTGGATTCTCTCACATGATCAACCGTGGTTCAAGTCCAGACCTGATGGCTTGAAACTCACACCGTGCATGTGTGTGTGCATGTGCCCAAAATCCTGAGAGGAGAATGGAAGAGAAAGTATTGGACCATGGCTATCCCTCTGGGGTGTGATTTCTCCTTTTCTGTCTCTCTGTCCCTCTGGTGAGTGCCTGCACCTTACAGCAAAGTCTCTCAAAAAAAAGAAAAGAAAAGAAAAAAAGAAAAGAAAAAAACCAAAACAGGGACATGCCATGGTTTGTTTTGTTTTTAGAGAGATTTTTGATATAGGGCTTGTGCACTTGCCAGAGAGACAGAAAGGAAGAAGTCACTCCCCAGAGGGATGGCCATGCTGTAATTCCTTCTCCTTCGTTCTCTCAGGATTTTGGGCACACACACACACGCACACAGTGTGAGTTTTAAGCCGCCAGGTCTGGGATGATAACCACAGTTGACTATGTGGGAGCAATGAGATCATTACACCATCTGCTGGGCCCGCCATGTTCTTTTTTAAGTTCATTTTATTTATTATTATTTTTGAGTTTGCTATAGGCCATATGTGTTCACCACAGAGAGACAACAAGAAAGAAGAGAGTGAGAGAGGGAGAGAGAGAGAGCAGAAATGAGAAAGCAAGTCACCAGGTCTGGGACTCAAACCATTGTTGGCCATGTAGGAATCCAGTGCCTTAACCACCATACCACCTGCTGGCCCCCATGGCCAGGGGTTTATGTCATGTGTATTTTATGTCATGAATGTTCATGCTACATGTATATAAAGAGCATACACATCTACTGATACTATTGACAACGGAAAGTTCAGACAGCACAGACATACTAACTTTCTAGAATGACAGTGTAACAGGAGTATGGGGGCCACAGAAACACCACCATTCATTAAATGTCCCCTGGAAGGACTTCACATTTGTAACTACGGCAGGTCACACCCAAATAAGGCCACTACACAGCAGGACTGCCTGATATTTTCTCAGATTTGCCATCTGCTGAAGATGGCAGCACAAGACAGGTAAAGGAGAAAGGGTAGCTGAAATTCAGGAACAAGGTGGGCAACCTTGAAGTCACTTACTTGCCTTATGCCTCTCGGAAGGGTAGCCACAAGTGTACTGTTGGCAAAATTTTCTTTAAGAGAGAATTTTGTCATAGGGCATGTGCACTCACCAGAGAGACAGAGACAGACAGAGAGACAAAGTGAAAAATCATCTCCCAGAGGAGATGGCCATGTCGCAATCCCTTCTCCATTCTCCTCCTGGGGTTTTGGGCACACATGTAAAAGCTCCTGGCTGAGTTTTAAGCTGCCGGGCCTGGGACTCAAACCATGGCTTATTACATGGGAGTCCAGCTACATAACCATTATGCCATCTGCTGGTCCCATGTTGGGACACTTTTGAGAGGGAAAAATGGTGCTACTTGTTAAATATTGTCATCACGCTAGGAAAAGAGGTATAAATAAATACAGTTCTGGATATATCTACATGTTTAGTCACCCTCTTTAGCCACAAACATGGCCTTCCCTTCAATTATGAAGGACGAGAGAAACTTTATTCTATATATGTATATAGCAGTAGATGTGTGTATATGTACATGTACAAGAGTGTATATGTGTGTGTTTATACATAGATACACACTTCTACATGTATCTCTGCATACATGCACACATGCATGTCAGCTTTTTTTATTTGATTTTTTTTTAAAAGCTGCATTCTTTTGGGGAGGGATCATGTTCTGGCCAGCCAGATCCCCTCTACATCAAAGCCTCTCGCTGAAGTCACGCAGCAGATTCACAGGTGTGGCTACCTACGTAGCTGGCAAAAGGTGGTCCCTGGAAATCTAGCGTGGGGGTGATAAAAATGGATCTTAGGGGACCAGCAGTTGGCATAATAGCTATGTTGCTGGACTCCCATGTAGTTGACCGCACAGTTTGAGTCCCGGACCCGGTGGCTTAAATTCACACCGGGCGCATGTATGTGCATGCCCAAGATCCTGAGAGGAGAAGGGACTGCAGTGTGGCCATCCCCCCTGGGGGGTGATTTCTCACTTTCTGTCTCTCTGTCTCTCTCTTTTTGGTGAGTGCACATGCCTTATAGCAAAAACCTCTCCCCCAATTTTTTTTTTTAAATGGATCTTAGAGTAGAGGCTCTTCATTGACATAGGTCTGAAAACCCAATTCTGAATCATCATTTGCCCAGTGAACATATTTCCCTGAGCCTGCTCTCATCATTGATATTCAGCTGCTTGTAGACTATCTCCATCTGAATGTCCTTACTCCTCACTGCAATTGCCCAGAAAGGGACTTACCATTTCCCCTTTCAAATCTACTCCAGTCCTCAGATGTCCTTTGATTCCCTGAATGGCATAATCCCTCCCCTGGTAACAGACTGGGCAACCCAGTGCCGCCGATGCCCCCTTGGTTGAGCAGTTGTCCCCACCCATGAGCTCCAACCCCCAGTAAGAGCCCCAAATCCATCCCTCTTCTTTCCAATAATCTAACACCCCTGACCAATGCTCAGTCACATGACTGGATTTCCCAGGCAGGCTGTAGGGTCTCTGAACTTGGCTGCTACCAGGTCATCTTCCTGAAGACCAGCCCCATCACACCACCCTCTTCTCACAATCCCAGACAACCCTCATTGCTGCAGAACCAAGTTCAACTCACCACCTTGCCTGCAAAGCCCACCTTGGGTCTGGACAAACACCTCTCTTTCCAACTCCATCTTGCAAGTCTCTGGTATTCATCCCTCTCTCCAGTAAGGGTATCCTCTGTTCTCGGGTTTCCACTTCTCTGCCTTGGCTCGTGTTACTCTCTCTGTTTGCCTCTTTACATGTCAAGGCCAGAGCAGAGGCCTCTGTGCTCAGTCTGTGTCCGTCCGTGGCTTTTATCTTTAGTGCCTCTAATGCCACCTTCCCTTTTTCCCTTGTGCTATAGCCATGGTCATATTAAGCCCAACCCCCCTTAGACTCTGAGCTTTTTGAGGGCTAACATTGCATTTTCCTCAACTCCACTACCCTGCCCTCTCTGCCTGCACACCAAATGGGACTCCATTATTTTCATTTTGTAGCTGGGGTTTACAAACCCAATGTACTCTATAGGTTCTAGACTTCCAAATATTTTGTGTTTTTACTTGAACTGTAATTGTTTAAAGAATGATTTAATTATATTTATTATTATTTTGAAATTTTGCTATAGTGCACATGTACTCACCAGAGCAGAGAGAGACAGAGAGAGAGGAAAAGTGAGAAAGCAAGTTGCCAGGTCCAGGACTCAAACCATGGTTAGCCACATGGGGGTCCAGCACCTTAACCACCATGTCACCTGCTGGCTCTGAATTTTAATTTTTTAAAGATGATTTGATCTCCTAAATCTTTTCATAAAACAGAACTTCAAAGTTTCTGAAGTTATTGGGTCATTGAAAACGTTGTGATGCATTTTTGCATAGGAAAATACACCATGACTTTTCTAACACCTAATATTTCTCCTGAGTTATCGTCATTAAAAAGAGAAAACTCTGAGACACTGGGCAACGTTTATTTATGTGTTGCATGAATGTTTATCTATTGAAACTGAATGAGTGAATTGATGAAGGTGCCCATCAGCCAAGTGTCTGCTGCCCGAGGATTCCACCAGGGCCCCTGAGCAGGTGGGTTTGGACAAAGTGTCAGAGACTCGGGGGTTTTCCTCTAGGCTGACTTGGTGCTGTAGGAGTTCTTGCCTTCAGAGACTGGCTGACCTTTTCCCGTCGCACCACGAGATGATTTTCCTTTTCTGACAAAATGCGATGAGACTCATAGAGTCCTGGGCCGTAGCCCAAGGCCACACCCGCCAATGTTAGTTCAGAGGGGACTGTTTCCAGGAGCCTAGCCGCTGGCCCTGCTCTTTCCTTTGGCCTCCTCCTTATCCCGGGGGTTTATCCCACTTTTCTCTCCTTGTGTTTTTAAAGTGGTAGAAGAACATAGTGATTTAGAATAGAAAACTAGAGTCCGGCTGCCTGGGTTCAAATCCTGGCTATGCTACTTACAAGCTATCCATCCACAGGGAAGTTACTCAAGCTCTCTCCTTCAACTCAAATGTGTAAAGCCAGAGTGAAGGGAACAATGACAGAGGCAGGGCTGTGGCGAGGCTTAAATGAGCGAATATACTGTTACGGGCGCCTGCAACAGGGCCCAGCATCTTGCTGTAGATTTCCACTCGCGTGCACTTGAAAACATCTCTTGAGAGGGTACATACTTTTCTTCCCCAATATGACTTATTTTATGGCAACAACTTCTTCCCCTTTTGGCTTACCTAGTCCTGCTTATTACTTTTTAAATTTTTCCTGCTATTTTTAATGTTTTCATTTTTTTCTCCTTCCAAGACAGTGGTGCCATGTTATTT